AGTAGTAGTAGTATTAAACTTAAGTAGTAAGTAAAAAACAAAAGTGCGTTCTGCTTAAAAGTAAAAATATTAGTTCACTTCGTCTTACTTGGCTAAATTTAAGCATATTGATTTTTAAGTAAATTCAGTTCTTTTTAAGCTTATATGTATATGAAGTACTTCGAAAGTTTTTGTCGTACTTAACTTAAATAAGATATACAGTCAGTCAATAAAGTTTAGGTACAGTGAAGTTTTTACAATACCGGCAACTATTTTTTAAATATTTTATGTTTCCCTAATTTTTTATAAAAATATGGTTAATTCTACCCCAAAAACCCCAAAAATCAGAGTTCCAAACCTTATGCAAAATTAAAGAAAACTCTGCAAATTTCCATCCGAGTATTGCAATTTACACTTTAGAAAAAAGTTAAGTACTCAGTTATTAGCCCATTCAATTTTAGTATAACAAAGTGCAAGTTTGAGGTAGCTAGGACTTACCATTGATATTTAGCATTTTTTTTTTTGTTGTTTGGTGAGTCCTAGCTTCCTCATACTTGCACTTCATTATACTAAAATTGAATGGGCTAAAAAACGTTTTCTAGAGAGCGTAAATAGAAAGTGAATTATTTTAATGAAATTTTGCAGAATTTTCTTAAATTTTGCACAGGGTTTGGAACTCTGATTTTTGGGGATTTTGTTGTAGAATTGACCATATCGGCGCCGCCAACAGCGCAACACCAAGCGCACCCGCAAGAGCGCTACCCGCCGTCGTCAGCAGCGCCACGTCAATCGCGCCAGCAAGAGCGCTATCCGGCGCCGCCAACAGCGCAACACCAAGCGCACCCACAAGAGCGCTACCCGTCGCCGTCAGCAGCGCAACGACAGGCGTACCGAGGTTAGCAGCGCGCCATTCAACGGCGTCAACAGAGCTCTGCTCACCAGAATTGAAGCCACGCCAACCGCCTAACGGGCCCGTAACGGGACAGGAAGCCGTTACCCAACCACTGCAAGTGACGCCAGCAAATTTTGTTATTTGTTATATGTTCTTTGTAGAAACTAAGAAAATTAAATTAATAAAGTGCGATTTACCAGAGCCCCGAAACTACAAATTTATTGTAACGAACCCTGGACACGGCGAGTATAC